GCTCCATGATCTCAATGCGCTTCTTGCGCAGTACGGTGTCTACGGCGCGCAGTAATTCAACATGCACGATAAAGCACTCGACAGATCTGCATGAGGACTTCAAATGGCGTCGGTTCCCGAGAAAGCGTGGATACCAGTTATACCGGATGCTTTTAAGTCACCCGATCTACCATTATTTCTCACTGGTTCCCTCTGGTATACGGCACATTCTTCACTTGACTTGACCTACAAAAATAAACGTGCGATTTCCTTTTTGCAAGCACCGGTTCGGTTCCTTGCCGTGATTAACGTACGATAACAGAGTCTACAGAGGACCGTATAATACACTATTGACTTGACGGCTCGTCGCAAGGCCTCTTAAGTCAGACAGTCCACCACCAGAAAAACATCGGATGGCCATTTGGTGCTAGTTGGGACTCGCAGTGGTGCATACCCTCCATTAGGAAATGAACCCAAGACCACCGATTGCTTGCACCACTAGCCAGTGGCTTATGCCACCAGGCCAAAGAGGACGGCGCCGGATTGTCATTACTTGAAAGCTAACGACGATGTAGTGCAACTCATAGCACACTACCATGCAAGTTATGAACATTGCAGAGAACGGGGTTGGCTCCATGGCGTAACAGTGTCCACTAACGGCAGCTACGTGCGACGTATCATTTGAAGCTGTCAGAGAAAGAGGCTTTACAGAGTAGTAACCATTGATTCAACCATTTTCCCTTATCCGGTCACAGTAGTATTTCCGCCCCAACATGCATCCGAGTTCGTGAAACAGACGTTAGCACGAACGTGCTCAAGGATCTCACTGACCAGCTATGCCGAAGGCTGTGGTGATACGCTCGCGATCGTTTTGTTGATGGTTACACACGGCGCAGGTGGCCGTACACGCCTGGCTGCACACATGCACAGTGGACTGTTTCTGGACTCACCTGGTAGTGTCGGGGATAAACAGGGATGGTAATTACCTGTTTAGATTACTGATGAGCTTGATAGCATAGTGGATTTGCCCCATTTACGTACAAATTCAGTTGATCGAGAAGCGCATGGAAGTCCCAAGGAGAGGGATTTACGAAAGTCCCATTACGCAAACAGTGCACTGAGGCCGTATAATAAACCCTCCCCAGGAGAAACAAAAAAAGAGAACAGGATAGGTAGTGTGCATCAGGGCAATAACGAGATGATAGCTGGACAGAGACGAAACGCGAGGTGGGCTGTGAACGTCTGCATCTCCAGGCAACTGGCTAATTGGAAGAGAAAAAGTCAAGAGTTGCGAAAAAGACCGATTAGCTCGGTTGGTACAAACGAAGTATGAGGTCGCGCATCGAGTACAGTTTCGGCGACAGTGACTCTGCGTATCCCCATACCTCTGACAATTAATCACGTAAAACCATTGATGCCAATATGAATTAACCGTATGAATAAAGCTTACGTGACAAGTTGTCTGTGATTTGCGAGGAATTTCGAGAAAAAATCAGTAGCGAATGTACAAAAATAGCTTGCCCCACCCTGACGCCGTTATTGAAGTTCCTCATCCGGCTTACTGTCATAAGCATCATTTCACTAACAGTGCTGTGGGTGGACCGCCGAGAAACTTGGACCGGATATGGCTAACCTTTCGATGACACGTCAGGGGCTCATCAGGGGCATACTTGTCTAACCTTCCAAGTAGTAAGCTTCTTACTTTTGACGGATTCCGACTCTGTTTAGTGAGACGACACGTTTGTACACTATTCCTGGACAGTAAATAACTACCGTGACGGCCCCTTATTGAGTTTTTTTCAACTCTTGCACAATGCAGTAGGCTCCGTGTGAGCAAAATGAGTGAACAATCCTGCCGAACGCCAATGGGATTGCTAGCGAGAAGAAGGATTTTCCAGGTTATATTCTTCCAGGGTTTTAAAGTAATCAGGGCATAGACCGGCTTGGTACTTGCTTACTGCAATCACTTTTAAATAAACTAGCGTATAACGCTCCATACGTATGTATTTTGTACCCCGAAATGCAAGGCGCAGCCGCAGGCATCGGACAATCGTTCAAGGTGTTGTATCGGTTCACTAACAAAGGTGGGTGCCATTATACCGGTGGTTAAGGTAATAAAGGAGTGATGCATGCATTGATAAAGTCCCAATCGCTAAATGGGATGCCGAGATGCCCAGTTAGAGGTCCGAGTGTGCAACACCTCACACACAGTCCTCAGGAGGAAGATCGTTTGTTTGGCAAGGTGGATCACTGGTCCGACGAGATTCTTGACCCATGTTAGTGATCACGTATGTCAGCCACACAGTCTGCACGTGATGCTCGATCGATTTCCAGCGCGTGTGTTTGTATGTTAGCTTGGAACTTTCAGTCAATCATATGGCACGTGAGTATCGATTGGTTTCGACCAAGTGTGTAGTTAACGGCTTTCCCGGACAATTGGTTGTAACATCAGTTGTGCAAGTAAACGTTTCCATGCAGTGTCAATTCTGTCTTCTTACTACTAAGCGGGAATTATAACAGTCTGACGATGGAGATGGGATCCCGACTGTTATAATCCGCTTAGTAGTAAGACAGAATTGACACTGCATGGAAACGTGTACTTGCACAACTGATGTTACAACCAATTGTCCGGGAAAGCCGTTAACTACGCACTTGGTCGAAACCAATCGATACTCACGTGCCTTATGATTGGCTGAAAGTTCCAAGCCAACATCCAAACACACGCGCTGGAAATCGATCGAGCATCACGTGCAGACTGTGTGGCTGCCATACGTGAGCTCTCTAACAACAGTTAAACAAACAACAAAAGAACCCGCTGTAGTGCAACCAACATCCAACAATCATTTTTCGCAGGCTATCCACAACGCATGAATCACTACAGCGAGATGAACAGGCTGCCTTCCACCCTGGTCGCGGGTACATCGATCAGATTTTCATACTCCGCCAGATTCTCGAGCTGCGCCATGTGTAGCAAAAGCCAACGATTGTTGTGTTCCTGGATATCCGTGCTTCCTTCGATTCTGTTGACAGGGCTGTATTGTGGTACTGTCTGTTGAGGTATTCCCGGGAAGTTCCTTTCCATTCTGCGTGCTCTGTATAGTTTGACCTCGTGTCGAGTTAGCGCTTATGGCAAGCTTTCGCCTTCCTTTGTTGTCACCAGTGGGCTTCGACAAGGATGCCATATCTCTCCATTCCTCTTCAACTTTGTCATTGAGGATGTCCTCAAAAATGCTCTAGAAGACTTGTGGAACCCTTGCGTTGTGCCCTTCCCAGGTAGTCGGGTGGTTGAGTTGTATTATGCTGATGATATCATCTTGTTGGGCGATGGTCCGCAGGCAGTCTGACTTGTACGTAACTGCCTGGTGATTGAAGCGTCGAAGTATGGCATGCGCTTTTCACCATCCAAGTGCAAAGCGCTTTTTCAAAACTGGTTTACGCCCTTACCTGCACTCACCATCGATGGGGAAACCTTAGAAGTGGTGCAGAGTTTGGTCTACCTGGGAAGCTGCATAACTGCTGGTAGGTCTATCGGAAACGAGATTTCGATGCGTATCTCAAGAGTTCGTCGTGCCTTCTCCAGGCTGAGGCATTCATGGCACCGCCATGACATCCGTCTCTCCATCAAAGGACGGGTTTATAGTGCTACTGTCCGCGCTGTACTGTTGTACGGTTGCAAGACTTGGCCTGCTCTTACCGATGACCTACGTCGACTGTCTGTCTTCGAGAACCGTTGCTTGCGGTCCATCGCCCGTGTGTGATGGCTGAACCACGTAACCAATGCTGAAGTCAGACAGCGTGTCTTGGGTGGAGACAGGCACTCCCTCGAGGCGCTTATCTCGCTGCTGTAACTAAGATAGCTCGGACACGTACTGCCTATGCCCGTTCAACTTCTTTCACGTCCTGCCTTGTTCGCGGTCGCTGGACATGGTTGGATGAGGCAGTATGATGGACAGCCTACAACTTAGAGAAGTAGGATGAAAAAGCTGACAAAACAGCTGGCTACGGTTGATTCCTTCCGACTCCCTGGATGGGGTCCCAAGGATGCTGAGTGCAGTTGGTTGGAAACCTTGGAAGTCATGGCTGGAAACCGAACTCAGTGGTGGGCGTGTATCTGCTTGTTGCGATGATTCCCCTTCCCTCCCCCAATAAAATACATCCAAAAAACTCAAAAAATGTGAGTGGAAAAATGGACAAAAAGTTGTTTGCTTTCTTTCTGCTTTTACTCTGACCCTGTTTTCGTATTCCACCATGGTCCCGATGGCACAATATCTGCACACAGATTGTGATCAGTATAAATAGATAAAGCCGTGCAAACGGACGACAATACCTGTTGCGTCTAATGATTAAAGCTGTTAGGTTCACGTTCAAGTGACTAGCTGGATCGCCACTCTGAGCCATCTGTTCACGTCGGTTGTATATACTATACACATAGTGCGATGACTGCTTGTAGTATATGTTAAGGGATTTTTTCCTGGTGCGTTAAATAAATTAAAATACTGGTACCTGGGAGGTGTTGTACGTGTGAACGATGCGGCAACCAAGTGCGCCATGCTGAGGTCCTCTAGCTAGCGTTGGTCAAAACCTCCATGGTGAATAACTGGTGAATAACTTCCGCTACGTGCACTATGTTACTATACCAACCGAATTTGATCGGTGAACAGATAAACATTTTCGAATGTGTACTTTGATTGCTATGTCGCTGAAGTTGCTTCCCGTATGGACAAGTTTTACCGTCAAACGGTATAGACAGACCACGTTCTCCGCAACCCAGACACCGGTTAGATTGGAGTGCATGGTTCACTTTTGCCCTATCTGCTTGATGCAAATGTAGGGCCACCAGTCTATGACATTGTAGGAGGCATGAAGAAGTCAACTGAAAGAGGTGACCAGGACGATGTGGGTCGTTCTCCCCATGGGGTCCTCGGAATCGACCTCAGCTGGGACTCGATAACTAAGTTAAAAATTAGCCGCCACCAATGTGAGCCGAAGTAAATCGGGTGAACCGGAATGATAGCACTCACCCGTGACGCACAATCATCATCTCGTATGTCTGAATCAACTTTTCGGTGAAATAAGGCACAGCCTGCAAATTCTTCTCCTGGCACACTTGTTTGGCCTCGTTCAGAAAGACCGAGTAGTCTGCTTGCGGTAGGACAACACCGGGGAACAAGTCTGAGATGATTCCGCGAAACAACGGAATATCATGGGCCAAAAATTTGGGTAAGTTCACATCCAAAATAGATCGAAGGAGCTGCAAGAGAAAAACACAGATGGCAAGAGAGCAGATGAGAGTAGGAGCAATGGACCAATAACTCACATAAGGAATAGGTGGATCGTATTAACTCCAGCGGTAGATTACCTTGGGAATGAACACCTAAGTTGCATTCGTCATCATCATCATTATACACTTTAGCTAGAGGTGGAAAAGACTTCAGTTACCGTGCCGCAATACACAAGAAAAGAAAAAATACAAGTGCACGCCAGCTGTGTCACCGGTAACGGATGGGCATCCTTCCTGAGAGCTACCAGCCGGCAACTATGCAGCAAAAGAAATTATTACGCAAAATTTGTATTTTGCTAAGAAATGAGATCGCGGTTGGAGGGAGATGCTAAGAGGGATGGGAAGGGACAAAGAAAGTCACAACACCAACTCCACGGAGGTCGGCTCCTAGACATGTAAGCTAGTGTATCCAGCCAAAAGTGTTCAACATCTTTCGGACCCCAACCAAGAAGCCGAAAGGCTCCAACCGAAGCGAACGTCTAAGTGAGGGCCTTCATTGCTCTCAATCAAGTCATCGCCTGGTCACCCCTCTTCCTCCTCCTCCTCTTCCATCCACACCCCCGGTGAGAATAGTCATTGTAGCTGTCCGTGATGTTCGATTTTCCAAAAGTCCCAGGCACGATCGTTGGGAACAACTTCCGTACGACATTGATAACCCCCCGAGGAATCCAGCGTAGAACATCACCTACACACCCATCTGGCCTAACAGTTCCTTACAATTGAGCCACTATGACCTGTGCACCAAAGCGCGGTAGATCCAATTAACTTGATCCTTGTCAACGAAACGTACACAAAAAGTTTGCAAAAGTAAAGGAATAAGGAAGCATATGAGCTAAAGACGGATTATCTACAACTTAAATTCATTAGGTGTGTCAGCCAAGAAGCACAATTGGGAAGTGGGTGAAAGTGTGCGCCACTGAATTCGTGCTTATAAGTTATTCGATTGAATCACTGACCAGTTGTGTGGATCATCCTGAGGTCGCGTCTGTGAAAACGACACACACAAATCCGGGCCATGTCTGCAGTTAGGTAAATCATTCCGCGTCACTTTACTGTCCGCTGAGCGCCACATGATTTTACGCAATTAGGTACCGAATCGGTATACAACACGCACAGGAGGATACAGTCAGTAAGTGTGCCAGACATATAACCTGGACGACATAAGTGATTCGTGTTCAACGGGAACCTGAGTGCGGTACAAGAGCTTTGTTTCCAAACTGCAAATACAGCGTTTCGACACCTCTTATCCGGCATTCCACTCCCCACTTCTAAGTACTGCCTCGTGGGTATCTGTGGTCAAACATCGCCAGTCTCTTCATGCCTTCAGATCTCATTGGTCACGCCCTTGTCGCATATAATGACACTACTCGTACCGCAGCACTGTCCAGTGTGTTCTAGAAGAATAACTATATGTCCCACCGACACCATAATTAACTAAACCCTAAAAGATTCACGAGATCTGCTGTTCCCAGTAGTAGTCTCCCCGATTTTGTGGTCACCAAAAGTGATATAGAAACTCAGACAAACGAACCGACTGACCACTGTGTGATTTCATGGTGGTGGTGAGGGGTAGCCACCACTATTGTGCTCTTAACAGTAGGGATAACGAGATGGGGAAAAGGAGCCTAACATAAATTTATGACATCCTGGAAACCAAGCATTTGTGATGTTTGCACACCTAGTTGCAAACAAGAGGCCATCGTTCGAAGATAAAGTGTTGTCGGAGAAGCGGCTTATTGTGGCCTTCCCGGTTCGGGTCACGATCACTAATACCACACAGGTGTTATTACAGTCAAACCTAAGGCGACCACTCAAGGGACTGACAAAATGCGCTAGCCTTGAATGGGTGATCACCATTGCAGGCTGGACTGTACTATTATTTAAACAGCAGTCCATTGAACAGACACCGAGTCAATCAAAACCAGGGAAATCAATAGAGATGACAGGTAGAATATCGTCATGACACATTAGCCGAAGGTGGTCAACTCGCTACAGCTACTGCGCCACAAGGAAAAACGGAACATTGTTTGTTATTTTGCACGCGCCATTTTAACGTTTTTTTTGTCTCAATTGGCAGATTTTAAGCATCTGAATCTAAACAAGTATGTACATACATCAGGTACTGGTTTCGATTGAGTGCCATATCCTGAATTGTTTCGAGCCAACGGCACTCTTCCTCCTTTCGTCCCCAAACTGGTAGGCGTCTGGATCCAACGGCAGCAAGACGTGAAGCCAACGATTTCATATGCTGCCTCCAAGTGGAAGGCTGACCACCACGCAGCCGCCTCCAGCCCGGTCCTAAATGACTGAATAGAGCGCGGCGCAGCAACCGCTCAGGCGCGATGCGTAATGCGTGACCAAGCAATCTCAACTGGAGCAGCAAAACCAGCTTGTTGCAGAGAATACTCGCCTTCCCTAGGACGTGACGTCTGACGTCATCAATACAGATACGTTGTTGCCACCATACACAAGCAACTCTCCTCAAGCACCAGATGTCGAAGGGCGAGAACCGGCGCATTTCATCTACGCCAGGGGTGTCCAAACATTTTTCAAGCGGGGCCATATTTTGTGAGGTATAAAGATGTCAGGTCATATTCAGTCTGACATCAAGATAATAAGAAAAATTCCTCATCATCATCAATACACGTTAGCTGAGGGTAAGAAACACATCTCAGCTAATGTGCCGCAATACAAAAAGATAAGACTAAAAAATTACACTAAAAGTACACAAAATACACTACAAAAATAGGATGTTAATTATTATATTATGCGTTTTGCATGAGATCGAGATTGGAGGGGGAACCTAAAGGAGGGGGTGGACAAAGAAACTCACAACACAAGCGCCATTGGGGTCGGCTCTTTGCCATATCAGCAAGTGTGTCCAACCAAATGTGTTCATCGTCCTTAGGACCACATCCAGACAGACGGGATGCGCCAACCGAGGCCAGCTTCGAAATAATGGTTTTCATTTCTCTCGACCAAGTCATCACTTGGCCTCCCCTCCTCCTTTTCCAACCGCTCCCCCGGCGCGCAACCAATGCATATCGCGGGAGTCGGTGTGCTGGCATGCGCAACACATCTCCCAGCCATCGGAGCCTGATGCGTGATATAACGGTGCTGTGCGGTTCAATCGCTCTTCCTGCACCAAACAGGCGACGCCGAACACGCTCATTGCTCACGCGGTGCTCCCACCAGACATGAGCTAAGCTGCGAAGGCAGCGATGATCGAATGTGACGAGCCGCTTTATGTCTGTCGACCTGATGGGCCAGCTTTCACAACCGTATAAGAGGGTTGAACAGACGGCTGCATTAGAAACTCTGCCCTTCAGGGCGAGAGTAATGTCGCGTCTGCGCCACAGGTGGCGGAAATTGACAAAGCACCTCCAGCTTTTGCTATACGGTTCGTAACCTCATCTTCGATCCCACGGGCGCTAATATAGCTGCCCAGGTACTTGAATTCCTGAAAGACTTCTAGCTGATTACCACAAAGCGTTAGCGCAGGGGTGGGTCCCTGCCAATCTTGGAGAAGTACTTTGCATTTCGATGGAGTAAAGCATAGCCCAAAACGATTGACAGTCAGTGCTAATCGGTCCAGTGCTGCTTGGCATGTTTGGGAGCTGTCACAGATTAGGGCAGTATCGTCCGCATACTCTAAGTTAAGAAGTCGCTCACCGGGAAGTAGCTCTACACCTTCTAGGTCGTGTCCAGCGAATGTCGTTTCCGTGACTTCGTCAACTGCGAAGTTAACTAAGAAAGGTGACAACGGGCAACCTTGTCTCACACCGCTGATGATACTGAAGGGTGTTGACAGTTTGCCATAAACCCTCACTCTTCCCAAACTATGCGCCTACAGCGCTTTGATAATGTTTACGTATTTATCAGGCACATCTTTCCTCAGCAGACAGTCTCAAAGGGCACATCGATCAACTGAGTCGAAGGCACCTTTTATTTCAAGAAACACAACAACAGTGGGTCGCCAATAAATATGGTGGTGCTCCAACAATTGACGCAAGGTGAAGATGTGGTCGGTGCAGCCCCAACCTCGACGAAACCGGGCTTGCTCTACATGCATCTGGCTTTCAGGAGTGCCAGTCAGTCTGTGGAGAATGACCGACGCAAGCAATTTAGTGGCAATTGAGACCAGACTGATCCCTCTATGATTGCCGCATTCCGCACGGGAGCCTCACTTGAAAATTGTGACAATGACGGAACAGCTCCAGTCTGTCGGGACAGTCTCCTGCTCCCAAAGTTTCACTAGCAACTCCTGTAAATCATCTACTAGAGCAAGTCCCCTGAATTTGAAGAGGGCTGGGGGAATTCTATCTGCCCCTGCGGCCTTATGCAATTTCAGCAGCCTGATCTCACGTTCAACTACTGCGCGTGAGGGCGAATCCAAGGAGACGGTCCAGGGAGAAGGGCGCTCAATGCCCGAAAAAGAAAGCGATAACTCAGCTTGGTTAACCTGCTTTGCAAAGTATTCGGCTCAACACTCCAAGCGTTTTGACAGGCTGTGGATCGGCTGCCCACTCTCGTCGCGTATAGTCTCACTAACACCAGGTCTCCTGCTGCCTGTTTCCCGTATCAGACGGAATAATTTACGAAGGTTACCAACGGCAGCGGCTGTTTTCATCTCCGAGGCACGATGAGACCACCAGGCTTCGCGGTCTTTCTTAGGCTAGCACGCAGATTTGCCTGGGATTTTTACGAGTCTCATTGTATTCGCTTCCAGCTGGAATACGTCGGCGAGCATCGATAAGTTCCAGACTGTGTAGAGACTCGATGTCCAGTTTGGTAATTTGATTTACCACATGAAGACATACCTGCTGATAGTAACCTTTGGCGAATATGCGTCCAGTGATCTTCAGTAAGAAAATTACACATGTAGGAAAAAAGTCCAAGCCTGAATTTATTATTTCATGATGAGGCCGCATTTGACCCGCGGGCCGGACTTTGGACATCCCTGATCTACG